ATTTGAAAATACACAACCGGAAAAAATCTGCCACTTCCTTACAGAGCCCCTCCTCCAACACACACGAACGCGCACATGACCAATGAGGGCACGATATAAGTTTGTGCACAGATGGAAGGCTGACAGGCAGGTAGGCCATCCAGTTATTTTAGCCGGGCCGGCTAAAATGATTGGTCGTGCTTTTTACAGTACTACAGCTTCCACAGATGACATTTTTTTATGGATTTTTTGTCAAAGCACTTAAGATATTCATTGCTATCGGGATGTTAAGAGCATTCCATGGAATATAACAAAAAGTGTATCTCGAGCCGGTTTCTCAAACTTACCTACCCCACCTTTAAGTGTACTCGTGTTTCGCACTCACTACCATATGTAAGATTTCTAACACACTAATATTGAAACTGTATTATGTGTTGTGTCCCGTCAAAAATGTTGAGTCTAGTCATGTTTCATGTTTTTGTTTAGTCATTTTTTGTCTTGTCTCCCACTTCCTGTTTTATTTTGACACTCACCTGTTATGTTTCATTCCAGGTTCCTTGACTCCCTACCCTTGTGTGTGTCTCTTGCTCTCATCAGCACCAGCCCCGCCCCTGATTGTTTCCACCTGTGCCTAGTTACCTCTTGTTTATATTCCCCAGTCTCCCCTTGTCTTGTGTCAGTTCGTCTTGTCCTGTCTCCATGCCAGTAGTCAGCGTACCAGCGACTAGTTATTTTTGTCTCAAGCCTAATTTACAGTAGGTTTTGTTTAACAAATGTAGAGAGTGGTACAATATGAACACACACTCACTCCTTATATGTTCAGGACACCTGCAGCCAATTCTAGACACACACACGCACACGCACACACACACGCACACCGTTTCTAAACAGATGCCACACAGTAAAATAAAGTGAGCCAACGCAGGGCAGCGTTTTCGAAAACTCTTGTGTTATTGTCGGTAAAGTCGAGTGTAAAGAAGTGCGATGTCATTTATTATACTTCCTACAGGAAAGTTCCTTTCCTAGGGGAAAGGTTATGTTAAAATCCAAAGTGGGTCGTGTTTGAGAAACTGCAGACATGTGAGGCTGACACCTGTATACAGAGGACGTCTGGCAGATAAGACCAGTCAAAGATCTCTAATCTTAGAGTAAATGTTTAGTAAGGAAAGACAAAGAGAGAGAAAGGGGAGGGATATAAAAGAATGGGAGACAGCTGGTCTGGCAACTCTGAGGTCATGGGAGGGACAAACACACACATGCACACTGCTCTCACAGAGCCCATGGAGCTCAGTAAATACTGAACATGAAATAAAACATCTAGTTTTTTATATTAAAGAGGCAGTTCACAAACAAAATAATGCGATTTAGGCATTCTGTCTAAAATGGGGAATCCTTGTGTTCGTGGTGCTCTGAGTACACATTACATTAACAACACAAATTCACAAAGGACACTATCTAACTAGCTTTGGTGAAAATGAGCTGTAGCCCTACTGAGCCCTCTATCCACACTTATGGCGCGTTTCCACTACAGCCCGCAGCCCGGTTTAAGAGGGCTGTGACGTCAGCGGCCCGTCTTTGGTTGCGTTTCCACTTGGCCTAGTACCGGCCGGCGGGTCCTAATTCACAGTTTTTTTGGCCTCATAAAATCGTGGGGCCAGGGCCAGAGACAACGAGGCTGAGTCGGGCTGAGTATGCTAAACTAGAGAGAGCGTCGCTGGCAAGGGGGCAACAACTACAACAAGATGGACATATTTGACCGTGATTTAATTGTAATACACGTTTCAAAATGATGCCGAAGTAACAACATACTGATACCGGTTAGTAAAAACCATGAATTAATGCTTTGTCAAGTCTGCAGACAGACGGCAGGGGAAAAACCTTTTAAAATGCTTGTTTTCTAAATGGAGATTGGCTAAGCTAACGCAGTATATGCCCCGACCGTCCACACTCACAACAACGGCCTATACAGACATAAATAAAGCAGCGACTGTATTCGCCATGACACAGGCAGTCTGTGGTGTGTACTTGTTTAACTTTTGTCTAGTTTCTGAACATATATGAGGAGCTGTGAGCTCTGAGTGCTAACAGCTAACGGCTGTGTTGTTTTTCTGGGGTCCTCTGAAGATCACGTCACGGCTCCGCCTACACTGCGTTACTATAGATACTACCCCAGTTCCTAAACTGTAATGGAAATGCGCCATAAAGTGAGCCAGTCCTAACGAGGCCCAGCCATACCGAGCGGGGCCGAGCGAGGCCGTGTAGTGGAAACGCGGCATTAGTCCCGCCCATACTGTCCAATGTGCCAGAAACAACCAGTACTTCAATGCTGCATGATTTCAGAACTTGTGATTTGTCTGTATGACAGTTTGCAATGTTTGCCTCAGTTGGTCTGACCTGTTCGGAGGCAGAGAATAAGAAACAGAGAAAGTGAAACGCCATGTGAGCTCAATGCTATTGCATTCCCCATTCAGTGAACCCAGACCCAACACAAGTATTGGATGGTGAATTTGATATGTAGTTGATACTTTGTGAAACCAATATTTGTAATAACTTCACATTCAGCACTGTCAGCCATCACCCAGCGGAATGCATTACAAAACTGAATGATTGTTGTTGGGATTGCTGCTGAGGTTTGAAATGACTTGAAATGTTTATTTGAATATAAGTAGTGGTGTAGTGGTCGTTGGACGCGGGGATCGCCGTACCCCCACTTATTTGGAGCCCCCACTTTTTTTCTGAAGCATGATTTTTTTTGAATAGTCTAATAAATATAAAATCATTGCCAGTGTTATCAGTTGCCAGTGTGTATTTGTTGTAATAATGACAAAAACATAATACATTTCACAGTAATTATAATAACAAATAAAAACGATTTCCTTAAAAAAAGTATGATTCGTCATCACGCTCGTGACCCCAGGGTGACACCTCCAGCTCGCCGCCCGAAACAGCTCTATAATGGCAGGCAAAAAAACGTATGACGTAGCTCAAGCATTTATGCAACTTGATTTGAAGCCTGTGTGTGTGAGGGGCAGCACCGTGTGTGTGTGAGGGGCAGCACCGTGTGTGTGTGAGAGTGAGAGAGTGAGAGAGAGAGAGAGAGAGCGCCAGGAATAATGCCGAAGCGGTGTGCATACAAGATCCGTTTATTCGCCATGCATGTAGGCAAGGCCTAATCAGAATCATTTCAAGTCCAGATTCATTGTTTGCATAAGTAGGCTATATTTTTCGTTTCGTTTATTTAATAAGTTAATTTCAGGACAACTTTGAGAACTTTGTTTGTTTATTATGAGTTTTAAATAGATTTTGAAAGTGGAGATAGAGAGAGAGAGAGAGAGAAGCAGCGCTGTCTGATTAGTTGCAATACTGTAGCTCAAGCATTTATGCAATTTAGGCCTATAAATTGTTTATGTAACTTATGTGCCGGGGTGTCCATGGTTTTGAGTCTGTGTGTGTGTGTGTGTGTGTGTGTGTGTGTGTGTGTGTGTGTGTGTGTGTGTGTGTGTGTGTGTGTGTGTGTGTGTGTGTGTCTGTGTGTGTGTGTGTGTGTGTCTGTGTGTCTGTGTGTGTGTGTGTGTGTGTGTGTGTGTGTGTGTGTGTGTGTGTGTGTGTGTGTGTGTGTGTGTGTGTGTGTGTGTGTGTGTGTGTGTCTGTGTGTGTGTGTTGAGCGCAGCGCCGTCTGCTTTTTGCAGTACAGTAACTAAAGTAGGACTAAGCATACCGGTAGTTTCTGTAGACCTGTCTGCCCGTTTTGTGAGTGCACTGCGCGCGTGCGCACTTGTGGTATTGTTTGGGATGACCTAATTCAAACAGTGTCCACCCAGTAAAAAAATCCCCACTACACCACTGAATATAAGTAATGCCAGGGAAGGTTGACATGCAGTAGCATCAGTGCCTACAATAACATACCATTCACTAAAAGTATTTGTAGTAACTAGACCACTACCCCATCTGACCTGTCATGTGCATCTTTTAGTCAAAAGGATAATGGTTGTGGGTTACATATTGAAACATCACTATAATTGGCATGTTGTTATGTCCAGACATGTGGTTTTAGTCAGACGTACATATACACACGTCAGCTCTTTGTAAGCAGTACACTCAGAGAAGCAACAGGTTTAAAGGTTTGTAATTAGTCATTCATATTTACATTTCAAATATGTATTATTTCAACAGTTTTCTAAGAGCATACACAAACATTTAATACGATTAAGACGATTTGGAAAAAACAGCTGTTGTTTTGACTGATTTTGCGATTGTTATATGATAAAAAAATATATAAGGAATGATCATTTTTGCATGATGATTCAAATTTTGAGAATGACAATATGTTAAAAATAATCATGTTTTTTTTCTTAGCATCTGTACCAAATAGCAGAATGGCTACTTAATGGACCCTGGCCCAGTGTGAGTCCAGGTCCTTACTCAGGACCCACAAATAGCTGCATGACCCAGAAAGCTCTGGGAAAATAAATATGATTTAAATATATTGCTATGGTACAGTATGAAGCATCATCTTTCAACAAAATCAGTGTGTTTTTGATTTCCTCTCATACTCTGCCACAGAGAGGTAACACCACCTTTTCTATACCCATACTCTAACACACTAACATACATACTTTTTAGAGTTTTCTAATGTTTGGAAAGCTTGAATCAAAAGGCTGCTTCAATATAACTGTTGATTTGAGTTTCTGTGCAGGCCTGAGATTATTTTTAGAAGCCTTGCATCAATCAAGATGTCGGAAAGGTGTAACCAAGCTTGTCGATCAATCCCCACCAATTGTATTGCAATATCTAAAAAGTACCTCCATTAATGTTAATGCGCCTGCATTAAAAACACCTGTTTTTATTCCTTCCTTACTTCCTTTCTCCCTCTCCTTGCTTCCTTCCTTCTTCAATCCTGTCTTGTCCTGCTCTGTTTTATTGCATTTAATCAACAAAAAATGTGTGTGTGTGTGTGTGTGTGTGTGTGTGTGTGTGTGTGTGTGTGTGTGTGTGTGTGTGTGTGTGTGTGTGTGACTAACCATGGACTCGTCCTCAGTGGTGAACACGGTACAGGCCTGGGCCTGCATGAAGGACAGGATGGTTCCTGCGATCTTCCTCAGCAGAACCTCCAGACACTGCTGCTCCTCAAAGATCAGACTGGCCAGGTCTAACAGCACCTGCACACACACACACACACACACACACACACACACACACACACACACACACACACACACACACACACACACACACACACACACACACACACACACACACACACACACACACACACACACACACACACACACACACACACACACACACACAGTTCACACACAAAAGAACACGTCATGCTCAGTGTTGTGTTCACACCTTCAGGGACCCACTTCCACACCCACCTGATTGCGTCTGTTTTCCAGCTGAGAGGTCTCGTAGAGCTGGGCGTTGTGCAGGACGATGCCTGAAAAGGCCAGATAGGCTGAGAAATCCTGGAGAGCAACAGAACATCATCTGAACACCATGTATAGATAACAGAACAATTACAATGACAGGGAACAAGACGAGACTGTTTCTTTATCAATGAAGGAGAAAGGAAAATGACCAGAAGTGTAAAAGGTATTTGTCCGTAAGTAAAGTAGAAGTACCAGAGTGTAGGAATACTCAGCTACAAGTACATCATCATTACTTTGTATACTGCAGGGTAGCTTGTGAATTTACTCCAGGTGGAACTAAAGTCTGATTTAACACTTGATTATATTTCACATCATTCATCCAGATCTGTAAAGTAACTAAAGGTATTAAATACATGCAGTGGAGGAAAAGTACACCATTTACCTCTGAACTGTAGTGGAGTAGAAGTACACAGTAATACAAAATGAAATACTTAAGTGAAGTACAAATACCTCAAAATTGTAGTTAAGTACAGTACTGGAGTAAATCTACTGAGTTACTTTCCACCACTGAATATGACAGATGATATAAGATAGGACACACACAGGTAAAGGTTGAATGAACGAGGCAGCAAAAGTTGAGCTTTTGTTAACCCAACACCTTAGTGAAGAGCAATATGTCTTTCTCACACATGTTGTCTACCGTTCTGTATTCATTCATATTGACAACATGTGGTTGTGTAGTGGAACCAGTGACCTTCGCTCACCCTCTCATCCTGCTCAGTGAAGGCACTGTCCTCCCCACATTTCTTATTGATCGCCTGAGCCACTCCAACTACCTGTGAGAAAAAACAAGAGAGTCAAAATCAAAAGAAGAAGGCTGACATCCTGTCAACATGGATGTCAACAAGGCCTTCAAGTTTTTTATTGGAAAAGGATGCAATCAATTGTTCAATTGTTTAAAGACTCAATCTGGTTGGAAAAACTGTAGCGGTTAAGGTTCAGGTTCAAAGAGGGAATACCTGCTGGAAGAATGTCGGCTCCCTGCCAAAAAGGCTGGAGGGCACTTAGGCCGTTATATCTTTTTCCAAAGCCCATTTCAAGTGTAAATAACTGAGTAGGCCGCAGTGTTCTAGCCCATGTATGTTCCAGGAAAAGATGATCTACAAAGGACTGTAGCGTTTTTTAGAGGAACTCTAATCATCTGGTCTACGTTAGGGAATATATGTCTTTTTGTTGTCTTAAATGTCAGAGATGTCACCACATGGAGTTCAATTATTACATGTTGTGTGAATACATAACAACAATTGAGCCATCTCCATCACAATCAAGCAAACTAACATCGAGATATTCTTTCAGCCAAAGTAAAGCCCCGTGTGTCATTTAAGATACGCCACTATCCTTCTGCTTTATGGTAAATAGTGTAACATCAGTAAGTAAGGTGCAGTGTGAATACACTATATACAGATGGACGAGTACATTGATATTTGATTTGATATGCTATTCTCGCCCACTCCATGTTAATAATATCCTACTTCTATATGTTGTGAGCTGTAATTGGCCCTTCATAGTGTATACTTGACAGACATTCTTCAGATATATATCTTCCACTGTCATTCTTTTTTTACTTTGAAGTTCTGTTTTTTTTAGATGTTTATATTTTATGTTTATGTCTGTTTATATCGTACTCCTTTTCATTTTCACATTGTGTGCAATGCCTTGTTTACTTGTGTCTTATCTTATCCTAATAACACCCCAGCTGTAGCATGTCTGGTCTTACCTCGTCTCTGTGGTTCTTTATGGGAAGGCACAGGATACTCTGGGTTCTGTATCCTGTGATCAGGTCCACTTCAGCATTAAACCTAGGGTCCTGCGGAGGAAAATCATAAACATCCTTTTATCCCATCTTCAAAGCAATACAAAGTGTCCAAATAAGTCTGACCTACACTTTTGGACTGAAACCTGTTCTTTTATAATCATATCTGTTCTTGCTATTGCCTTTCACAACAGATATTGTTAGCGTTACATCTGAAACATTACATCATTCTAATAACCATCTTTCCCTTTTAAATCAAGTCAAAGCTTATTCTATAGAATCCCAACATAGTCTGTTTGAGTGGGTTTAACAGATTAACAAACATGAAAGACACAAATAAACTAGATACAAATAAAAGAAGGTAAAATACAACAAAAAGGCCATACAAATACAAAATAAGACTTCCATAACACGTAAGAGAAACATAGGCTAATGTTAAACCAGCTGAAACTATAAGGTTTTATTCAAAAGAAAAGTCTTCAGCACACTTCAAAGTTAGGACCCTGCCTCTCTGATCAAAGCTAGAAGTTGGTTCCAGAGAAAGGGAGCTTCTGACTCCTGATAACTTCTCTGAAGAGTAGCTCTCCTAAAAGGGAAAGCTTGCAAACTTGGCATTTGACAAGTTTAGGAGTGTTGTCTTTATTGAGCCTTTCCGAAATCAAATAAACAAGATCACAAGTTCGAGGAGGAGAAAAAACAGGGTTCTGACTGGCTGGTAGCTCATTTTGCGGCATGTGATACAATCTGCCAGCAACAGTTCAGAATCAGAATACCTTCATCAGTCCCACAGAGGGGACATTTACATTGTTGGCAGCCCTTCCTCCACAGAATGGATGGTCACTGGCTAACACCTTTTGATTGGACAAAAAATGGCTTAGGCTTTCAATGGTAAAATGCCCCTTTATCGGCCCGCTGTGGCTCCTGGAGATGGACGTCAACCAATCAGAATGGTTACATTCCCAGCCAGATAGATATAACCTAACCCCTCATTGCTCCTGTAGGTATGTCTACAGTACTGGAGTGTTTACAAGTTGCTTTGGATAAAAGTGTCAGCTAAATAACATGTCATGTAAAGTAATCATTATAATCCTCCCACAGGATTGTTGACATCCTCCTGGATTCATCTTCTTATTATAGACACATGCATTTCCAAACATTTGGTCTACCTATGTTGTAAATGTATTATCTTTTCAATTTACACACGGCATCTATTGCACGTCTGTCCGCCCTGGGAGAGGGATCCCTCCTCTGTTGCTCTCCCTGAGGTTTCTCCCATGTTTCCCTTTAAACTGTGGGGTTTCTCTGGAAGTGTTTCCTTGTACGATGTGAGGGTCTAAGGACAGAGGGTGTCGTATTGTCATACTGATATTCTGTACAAACTGTGAAGTCCACTGAGACAAATGTAACATTTGTGATATTGGGCTATATAAATAAACATTGATTGATTGATTGATTGATAAACAGTATGCGCCATCCAGAAACAGAGACCCTGACAGGCTGCATACAGTTTAACCATCCACACTAAAACTAAAAGTTATTTTCTGTAGAGCTGCATGCACACAGCTGTGTCAACATTATGCAGAGCAAAGATTCCACTCTTCATAGTTTTGTTAGTACTTCCTTGATGCACAAGTGTTGAGTTGAAGAGGGAGGAGGGGCTTCTGAAGGCATGTTAAGGAGCACTGGATGTTTAGAGGACTTTTCCCCCGTTGGCAACTCTTCCACCCAGCGCTGACCTTTAAACACAGCTCTTCCTCTAAAAACCATTATCCTCCAAACTCAAGGGGGCAGATTGTAGAATAAAACCCTACACAAACAGGTTCGGTGTGGTATGACACAACTTTGATTGCCGAAAGAGATAGGCCTGTCCTAATTTTGTCTTTGTCCTAAGTATGTTATTTAAGTAAAAACACTTCCTCTGTTTTCATCTGCTTTTGCTGCTGATGCTGTTTACTCTTGAATGATTATATAACTGGAACAAAAGGTGTACAATTGACTATTCCCAAGCCCCATCCTGCTCACTGACTGTTGAATCACCCGTCAACCGCTGCCTTCTCAAACAATGTAGTTTACACAGTGTTTTAAACACTGGGTCAACTGACATGCAACATAACTGTATTATCTTAGTTGAAAGCAATGCTATTAAACGTAATATTATTCCTTTCAACTAACATAATACCATTACGTGAAATCTGTTGACATAATACACTTAAAGGTAGGGTAGGTAAGTTGGAAAAACCGGCTCGAGATCGCTAGAATTTGAAAATACACAACCGGAGAAAATCTGCCACTTCCTTACAGAGCCCCTCCTCCAACACACACGAACGCGCACATGACCAATGAGGGCACGAGATAAGTTTGTGCACAGATGGAAGGCTGACAGGCAGGTAGGCCATCCAGTTATTTTAGCCGGGCCGGCTCAGATGATTGGTCATGCTTTTTACAGTACTACAGCTTCCACAGATGATATTTCTTTATGGATTTTTTGTCAAAGCACTTCAGATATTCATTGCTATCGGGATGTTAAGAGCATTCCATGGAATATAACAAAAAGTGTATCTCGAGCCGGTTTCTCAAACTTACCTACCCTACCTTTAAGTAAAGTCAACATTTCAGTTGTTTCAGTGTGCTTTGGCACAGAGGGAGACTCCTCCCCAGCCAGTGACCACTCCTCTCCTTCAGCCCGATGCACATCCCATCAGAACAGCCTGCCAGGCCTTGTTACGGTTGCTAAGAGATGATTAGACAACTGCTGTACTGGGTAAGGTTAAAAAATATCAATTAGTATGTAAAACAGGCCTGTAACTCAAGGCCTCTACAGAATAACCTTTACAAACACAATTCAAAATGCCGTATCAGATTCTCTATATCTCATATGCTCATTTTGTATAAAACAGAAATGTATACATGTTTTAGTTGCGCTACCAAATTGTTTACACACCTTAATATGTTGTTGTGTTTGTATATGCTATTACAAACATAATGTATACTATCTGATTCCCAGACTTTTTTTGACTGATGTGGAAAATTGTTATATATCCCTAAACAATCTTTGCAGCAGAAAAGCACTAAAAATAGGGGGTGTAATCCTGAGACTAATGAGAAGGTACAGATCCAATCAGAGAGCTGGGGAGTCCCTCAGATGACACATAGGAACTTCCTGAAAGCAGTATCAGGTTCTGCAGTTGCACAAACACACACACACACACACACACACACACACACACACACACACACACACACACACACACACACACACACACACACACACACACACACACACACACACACTCGCACAAATAGAGTGCAGCATATACACAGATCATATGTAACATACACACACTAACAGAACACTTATAAGCAACATGAGTTATTTGAAAATACACACACCAAAACCAAAACAAGCTCTCACCAGGACACACACACACACACACACACACACACACACACACACACACACACACACACACACACACACGTTTTATGTTATTTAACACATTCTGATATATAGTATTTTAAATATGATGTGCTTACAGGCATCAATAGCACACAATCATGCACATAAATAAACTCTCACAAACATGCACACACACCTACACACACAAAGTTAATCAAATGCAGGTAGATCATAACATCATCATCATCATGGTCTTGTGGTTGGCAGGCAACCAGATGATAGCGCTACCAAATAAGGAATGTACCCAGCAGGAAATCTCCCTTTATCTCTCTATCTCTCTCACACACACAGAAACCATGCTGTGAGACTGTGTGTGTGTGTGTGTGTGTGTGTGTGTTGTGTGTGTGTGTGTGTGTGTGAGAGTGTGTGTGTGTGAGTGTGTGTGTGTTGTGAGTGTGTGTGTGTTGTGTGTGAGTGTGTGTTGTGTTGTGTGTGTGTGTGTGTGGGTGATGTGTGTGTGTGTGTGGGTGTGATGAGTGTGTGTGTGTGAGTGTGTGTGTGTGTGGAGTGTTGTTTGTGTGGAGTGTGTGTTGCGTGTGTGTGTTGTGTAGATGGTGTGTTGGGTGTGCGAGTGTTGTGTGTGTGACGTGGTGTGTTGTGTGTGTGTGTGTTGTGTGCCTGTGTGTTGTGCGCACTGTGTGTAGTAGGTACTGTGGTGTGGGACTGTGTGTGTGGTGTGTGTGTGTGTGACGTGTGTTGGTGTGTGAAGTGTGTGTGTGTGTGATGATGTGTGTGTGTGTGTGTGTGTGTGTGTGAGACTGTGTGTGTGAGACTGGTGTGGTGTGGTGTGTGACTGTGTGTGTGAGACTGTGTGTGTGTGAGACTGTGTGTGTGTGACTGTGTGTGTGTGTGTGTGTGTGTGTGTGTGTGAGACTGTGTGTGTGAGACTGTGTGTGTGTGACTGTGTGTGTGTGTGTGTGTGTGTGTGTGAGTGTGTGTGTGTGTGAGTGTGTGTGTGTGTGTGTGTGTGTGAGACTGTGTGTGTGAGACTGTGTGTGTGTGTGTGTGTGTGTGTGTGTGAGACTGTGTGTGTGTGTGTGTGTGTGAGACTGTGTGTGTGAGACTGTGTGTGTGTGTGTGTGTGTGTGTGTGTGAGACTGTGTGTGTGTGTGTGTGTGTGTGTGTGTGTGTGTGTGTGTGTGTGTGTGTGTGTGTGTGTGTGTGTGTGTGTGTGTGAGACTGTGTGTGTGAGACTGTGTGTGTAAGACTGGCGATGCTGTTTAGTGTGTTGTTGTCCCTGAAGTATACGCACTTACAGTGGAGGAAATCATTATTTATTGCAGATTTTGTAAGTTGACCCATTTACAAAGAAATGTCTATCAGTCTATCATTGTAATGGTAGGTTTATTTTACTAATGAGAGATTGAATACCAAAAGAAAATCCAGAAATGTACACCATATAAGAGATACAAATGTATTTGCATTTAACTGTGGGAAATAAGTATTTCTACATACATGTAGCTACAAGACCATCAGAAAGCAGCTTGGGGAGAAGGAGACAACTGTTGGTGCCATTATTCAGAGATGGAAGTAACACAAAATGAGCATCAGTCGCCCTCGGGCTGGGAAACACACAAGATCTGGCCCCGTGGGGTAT